TCGCCAAAGCCGCACGTGGCCTGGTACCAGCCGCGGAGGAGCCGGCTACATCTGAGAAGCTCGTACTCGACGATGGTGCGGTCAGAGGGAGGGGCAGTTGGGGCTGGGCGACTGGGGGTTAGTAGTAGACTAAGACTAAGACTACTAGCAGTAGTCCAGGGTGGGGGGCGGGGGGCGGGGGGAGAGAACAAACCTGCAGCCATCTGCATTTTCTCGGAGTATATGGAAATTGGAGGTTTTGAGGCAGCAAATATCCGAAGATGGATTGATAGGAGCTGGGCACCGGTGGTGGGGGCGGGGCTCTTTATCCCCGGCTTATAGACTCTAATTTCCGAAATTCGCCGCAATGGTAGGTATGTGCAAACTTGCCCAGGATACCCGGAGGTAGTAAGTTGTAACAGGTGTAAGAGCACATGGCTGACTGATCACAGTCGTGGTGTCTGCAGCAGGAAAACGCACAGGTACATACACACGTGCAGACGTGCAGACGTGCAGATACAAACGAGCATTTATTTTCCCCTGCAGGATGGTGGTGCGTTGATGGAAGGTGCGATCTGCGACTCATTAGATATCACTCACCCGCAGAATCTGGACCCACCATCATTAGTCGCCACAGGGCCCCTGCGCCAACCCACATATCTCGCATCCACACGGGTACGTGCAGCTACAAACAAGCTTTTTTCCTCGGTAGTGTTGGTGATGCCTTTCATGGAAGGTGCGATTTGCGACTCATCAAATATCACTCACCCGCGGAATCCGGACCCACCATCATTAGTCGCGACAGGACCCCTGCGCAACCCACATATCAAGCATCCACATGGGTACGTGCAGATACAAACAAGCTTTTTCTGGAGGAAAATATTAGTATATTGGTAAGAATAATTATCAGGCGTAACAAATGAGATTCATTGCATTGGGCTTCGTCAAGTTGGGCTTCGTTGTGTTGCGTTGCGCCGTTGCGGCGCTGAGGTCGTTAAAATCCGGCAAGTAGAGTACCTTGCTTCCCGCCTTGGCAAAGCTTATCTCAACCACCTTTGTCCGATCCTCATCCCCCGCCCCACCGACGACTGTAGAGTTGTATAGTCAAAAACACGGAGTACATGTATTTACATAAAAGTCAAATGACTAGAGTGTGGGTAGATGTGCGGCTGTAAAAAAGAAAACTACATGTACTTAGTAAGAAATAGTAACCCTAACCCAGCCGCACCTCTCTCCTTCCAGTGACTCTGATAGAACCAAAGATTTCTGGCAAGAACAAAAAAGATCAGCGCAAAAATAATCAACCCTCGTAGCTCACTTCCAAACTGGTAGTCTTGAAGCTCTTACTAGTGCTCGATACAGCGGTATCAACAGCAGAAATTACCAGCCCTGGGTTAGTTCCTTTCTCCTTTGACCCTGGACGCTGTTGTCCGACGAGCTTTGCTGTTGCCAAAAACTCGGATGGCTTAAACTCTCTATTATCAGTGCGGGGTTAAGAGGAGGGAGTACAGTCGCACCTCGCTGTACTGAACGTGCAAAATTGGGCGCGACTCGTTCCTTATACCCAGCAAAAGATTCCTTAGAGAAATTTTACAAAAAAAAGGGTTAGGGTTTCTTCATGCGGTTCCTCCCTATTTTTGGTGATGCTCACCAGTAGTTACAAGTGGACTCTCGAACAGTAAAGATACATACATTGTAGTTAATTGTGGAACTCCTCCGATCACTGAAAAAAAAAGCTCCAAGGTGGAGAAAAACATAAAAAGCAATATGGACAGATTAAGCAAACAGTTCGTTAATCACCAGTAGTGTGGTCGACGAGCCGGCTCGAGACGAGCAAGAGGAAAAGCTCGAATCGGCTCGTGATAACAGCTGCTCGACTCGATTCGACTTGTAAATACTCAAGTACAGCTCGAGCCACTCGAGGTTTTCAGTGGTCTCAGATATTAATCCTTAAAGTCATTCTAGATCTCATTATTGGAACATATGTTCCTAGGGTTAGGGTTTACTACTACAACATTGTATAAAATAAATTACCAAAGATATTGTCAGCATCTTTACTATGATTAAAATAGCACCCAAAAAGCTCGAGCTTCCCAAGCCGAGCAGCGGAAAAGCCCGAGCCAACCCGACTCGTGAGGGTGGCTGCTCGTGGCTGCTCGAGCTTTGGGCTCGAGTCGAGGACTCGAGCTAGCTCGTCTCGTCGACCACACTAATCACCAGCGATCGTAAAATAATTGAGGAACTTCAGTGATAATTCCTTACAGCAGATTCAGTTTGTATGGGAACAGGGGTGTGACAGGGGTATTTGATTTGTAGATTTCACCCACTACACTAAACGCGGTTTTTTCCTTATACAGAGGTTTTTTTGGTGAGGCGAAAAACAATCCTCAAATTCATTACATTATAGCAAATATTCCTTAACCCGGGGTTCCGTACCTCGAGGTGCGACTGTATGTAGCTCCCTCTCTAGGACTATCACCAGCAATAGAAGTAGAAGTAATCAGAACGATACTGCATACCATACTACACTGCAGCGTGGGAATGGCCCGCTTCCCGACCTTTGGGGACGAAACCTTCTTGTCCGACAGGGTTCAAAATAACAGTGCAAGAGAGTCCAACACCCTGACCAGAACCTATCTAACTTCGTCTCCTGCTCTTGTCCGTTTGGGGAATTCCATATCCCACAGGTATGCACTACAATCCTGTTACATCGACTCCTCACCCAGCGGGCCCTCGGTAATGGGCCGCAAGTACAGCAAGCCGCCACAATACCGGGCTTATCCCTTAAGCTGTTACTTAAATGCTGCCAACATGGCACATGGTAACACCAGGCGAGCTTCGCACGCAAGCCACAGAATTGAGACATGATACTTGGAAACGTTGGCAGCTTTAACAGCGTAAGGCATAGCGCCAGCCCCTTCGGAGAGGTCTGTGGTGATTTTCTCTGGAATCTCAACTCCGACACCCATGAGACTACAACAGGAACACCCCCGGGACTCAGCAGCGACGGGTTGACATCGACCCCGAAGATGATGCTGACCCTTTGGTTCCCCCGATCTCCAGGATTCGCCTATCTTCCTTCTCCATCCTTCCCGCCACCCGCCCCACTCTCACCGGAATCTTTCCAAAACAGCTTCCAGCATCCGGATTGAAGTGATACGCCTTCCGCCGGAAAGCGTCTTCCCTGTAGTTGACCCCGGGGTTTTTCATTACGTATTAGTGGTCACGTGTGATCGGGTTTGTACCTCTAGTCAGCAGTGCCATATGTGGTATTGCGGCCCTTTCACATATTTGCGCGCGCTCGGGGGGCGTTTGTACCCAGGTGCGGTCACTACGTACACTGTCTCGGGGGTTTACTCGTGAACTCGGGTGTTTGGCTTATATCTTTCCTTTGTTTTTTACATCCCAGCATGATATTAGAGCGATTTGGCCGCGGCGGGTTAAGTACATGCAATAATAGCCGGGCATCTTGTAGGAAGAAATACCAACAAAATCCCAATATCGATAAGGCCCAAGTATCCAACTTTCTCCCAAAGCCGCCCGTTTGTCCCCTCTACCGTCTGATACCCCTCTCTCAACACTCCCCACACTGGCCCTCCTGCGCCACAATCGCGCCGCATACACACACACGCACCCTGTGACAGTCCATGTTCTCCCAGCCCCATAGCTCCTCCACACTATAGAACTCATACCCGCCGTTGCGGCGCACATGTACATACCACTCGCCAAAGCCGCACGTGGCCTGGTACCAGCCGCGGAGGAGCCGGCTACATCTGAGAAGCTCGTACTCGACGATGGTGCGGTCAGAGGGAGGGGCAGTTGGGGCTGGGCGACTGGGGGTTAGTAGTAGACTAAGACTAAGACTACTAGCAGTAGTCCAGGGTGGGGGGCGGGGGGCGGGGGGAGAGAACAAACCTGCAGCCATCTGCATTTTCTCGGAGTATATGGAAATTGGAGGTTTTGAGGCAGCAAATATCCGAAGATGGATTGATAGGAGCTGGGCACCGGTGGTGGGGGCGGGGCTCTTTATCCCCGGCTTATAGACTCTAATTTCCGAAATTCGCCGCAATGGTAGGTATGTGCAAACTTGCCCAGGATACCCGGAGGTAGTAAGTTGTAACAGGTGTAAGAGCACATGGCTGACTGATCACAGTCGTGGTGTCTGCAGCAGGAAAACGCACAGGTACATACACACGTGCAGACGTGCAGACGTGCAGATACAAACGAGCATTTATTTTCCCCTGCAGGATGGTGGTGCGTTTGATGGAAGGTGCGATCTGCGACTCATTAGATATCACTCACCCGCAGAATCTGGACCCACCATCATTAGTCGCCACAGGGCCCCTGCGCCAACCCACATATCTCGCATCCACACGGGTACGTGCAGCTACAAACAAGCTTTTTTCCTCGGTAGTGTTGGTGATGCCTTTCATGGAAGGTGCGATTTGCGACTCATCAAATATCACTCACCCGCGGAATCCGGACCCACCATCATTAGTCGCGACAGGACCCCTGCGCCAACCCACATATCAAGCATCCACATGGGTACGTGCAGATACAAACAAGCTTTTTTCTCGGTGGTGTTGGTGATGCCTTTCGTGCAATTTGTAACTCATCAAATATCACTCACCTGCAGAATCCGGACCCACCATCATTGGGCGCCACAAGGCAGACCCCTGCGCCAACCCACATATCTCGAATCCGCACAGTAGAGACTTTAAGCCACCTAAGATTCCTAGCAACAGCAAAAAAGATCAGCGCAAAAAAGCTCGACCCTCGTCGCTCACTTCCAAACTAGTAGTTTTAAGGCTCTTACTACTGCTTAATATAGCAATACAAACAGCAAAAAGCTACCAGTCTTGTGTTAGTTTCTCCTTTAACCCTAGATCGCTGATCTTTTTTGTCCGACCACCTTTTTTGTTGTTGCCAAAAACTCGAATGGCTTAAACTCTCCAGTGTGAGGACCCGCATTGATGATCCTTGCTGGTTTGGATTCCTCAAATACCGACTATATACTCCCTATGAGTCCGACTTTCAACCTCATCCTCTTCAACCTCGTCTCTCCTCAACCACTCCTCCTCAACCTCAGCCTCGTCGCCGCTAAACCTCCTTCCTCAACAGATATGCCTAGAACGGTTTCCCCTAGACTGTTCTATCGTTCTAAAAACGGAGACGTTGAGAGGTGGGTTAAACATCAACTAGTTGTTGCTATTATGCTAATATTTAACAGGCGTATCGTGACCGAGAACGCCGAAAACGCCGAAAACGCCGGAAATGTTGAGACTCGGAGGTGGGTTAAACAGCAACTAGTTGTTGCTATTATGCTAATATTTTGATAGGCGTCTCGTGACCGAGAGCGCCGAGAATGCCGAGAACGCCGAGAACGATGAGGACGCCGAGAACGATGAGAACGCCGCCGAGCGCGCCGGCAGAGACGGCAACCCGCATGCTACAGTCAACAGTGCTCAACGGAAAAGGCAACGGACCGAAAAACGTCAAGTCATTTCAGTTGACAGCGATGCTGATCCCATTGATTCACGATTAAGACAACACTATTTCAGACATGCTACAGCGGTAGAAAAAGAATCAAGACGGGTTCATAGGCGTGTAGATGATTTTGATAAAAGATTAAATTCTTTGGAAAGAAGGTTTCGGGAGTCAATGGAGAGTCCGAGGGAGGGAAAGGAAGTAAGGTCTGCAACTACCATTAACAGAAAATGTAAATATTACCGGTTAGCTATTGAGAGAGCAAAGGGGAAACACCTCAAGTAACGGCTATAGCTATATGTAGTCAGAATAACCACAATTAACTCTTCGGGAATGATAATCTCAATACTCGTGACTCCGCGTGCGCGATTGTATATATTTGCTACCCCGCTACCAAACTCTGCGCCTACCTGCCTGCCTACCTCTGCGCCTGTCTGCCTACCTGCCTCCCTCCGTGCCTGACTGCCTCCCTGCCTACCTCCGCGCCTGACTGCCTACCCGCCTACCTACCTGCCCCTCCGCGCCTGACTGCCTACCTCCATACCTCCGCGCCTAACTGCCTGTCTGCCTACCTCCGTAAATTTTGTGAAGGACCAGGCGTAGATTTGTTGCAATTATGTGACGATTTGGTGTTGATTCGGGCATCGATTCGGGCATCGATTGCTGCCGAAGTCTGTAGCGGTGTCAGCATAGGCGTCAAAATACGGAGGCAGGCGGATACAGAGGTGGGATCGGGAGGGTATCAAATCCGACGTCATCTGCTGGCTCGATTAGTACTAGCGCCAGGAGTTCATGACAACATTTTGGAGGTGATCTGGCGGATCGTGGAGTTGGGTTATGCGGTTATGGGATTGAGAATCTGAGACCTGGGGATCTTAAGGGTGGGGATCCCAATTATTGCTATTATCCGACTTGGGAGTCCTAAATCTAGCATCTTGTGCGTTGCTTGATCAGGATTCAGGATGTAATCAGGCTCCGAGCAACACAAAAGCGCCTGATAACCGAATTTCCACCTTTGATTGATATCACGCAGAACATCACAACTACGCACCATACAAGAATCGGTACCAAGGTGTTGCAAAGAACGCATTTTTTGTCCGGGACTGTGGTCAAGGTACCGGAGGTCGTGGCAGCGGATAACGAGGAATCAGTACTCGCCGGCAGTGATAAACATCTGATTTTGTGCCAGGAATGCTTTCAGGTCTTCGCGTAATAAGTTCTGGAGTAAATTCTCGCGATCTCGGGCAGACTTTTGGGCAGTCATGCAAGGGAGTTAGATTGTCCTAGAAGGAAGATCGTGATCAGTCAAGAGCATTATCAGGATTCAGGATCGGACAGACAAGGCGTACCTAAATAGCAGTGGATAGTTGTCTTTTATCTCTATCAATTCAGTCATTCTTCATCTCTATTGTTTTGCGGGAGGTTCGGCCGAAGCGATCAACGTGAGCAAGTTCTATTAACGCCCGCGTGGATGCAGATTGTAAGCTTGTATTAGGAGGCTCTTATCCCACGCTAGACCCGATGAAGCGTGGCGCGTCGCGCTGGATAAGCCACATAATGTCAGATCCCGTTATCTCATTTATCAAATAATAGATCTCTCATACAAATCTACATGTAGTTCTTCTGTTATAGGGGAGTCAGCATCGACAGCTCAAGGGATGAATAAGCGAGGTCGGAATAGGGTAGAGAAGGGAAACGGGCACTTAGATTTATTTCTCTCTTAAACCTGTTTTAATATATCTATCTATCGTTACGTTCGCATAAGACTCAGATACCCAAAATTCGGTTCGAGAGAAGACAGGCTCTATTAACCACTTTTCTGGTTGTATGTCATATAAGTATGTAAGGCTTTTGACGAGGGAAGTTGCATACAAGTAGGGAAAGTCGTCAGCTCTAGGGCGGGTTGGGAGTAAAAAATAATGTTTCTCGGTTAGGGACTTGGCAAATATCAAATATCAAGCACCGCCCTTCCCTCTACCATCCCCGTTTCTTCTCACGCCCCATCTCCCAATCATCGAAATTATAGATTAATAAGCAAAACGAAGGAACGAAAGCCCGCAATTGAGCAGCGAAACCAGCGAAACCAGCGAAACCACTGCAGTGAAACCATCACGTTTCCAACAATATGGACCGCCATGGGAGAGTTTCATTTTGCCAGCACTTAGTCTTAGAATGTCTCACTCCACAATTCAAGCGTAGATACTTTTGTGAAATTCAAAATCTGACTATGGTGCGCACACTCTTAAAGGTGACACGGCGGCGTATGGATGTGGCTGCACCACGGACCCACGAGCCAACCAGAGGGCTCATTTCTAGTCATTTTTCTGCATCACTGCCACAACTCGATCGGGTTTGCTTTTCAAGGGGTATAAATGGGTATAATACGGTTCCAGTCTTGGCGCCTTTTACATACAAAAACAGCCTAGGTATTTCAATCTCTTATAACTTCATGACCATGATAGATATCGAAAATCTGTACGATAAAACTCAAGTTCATCACTATTACTATATTTTGATCTTACCGATTTTTTCTATTTTTTTTGGTGGTGAAGTTATAAGCGATTGAACTTCGTTACCTTGAAGAGTGGGCACACCATACTTGCACGCGGGGTGTGCGCACAACTCTGCCAATTCCGAACCACCCACCCTTCTCACGTATGTATGATCGGCAGACATCTCAATGGGTGGCACCCAACCCGGGCTTGACCCACCTTTCTTCCCTCTATTAGAGAGTTTGCGCTGCAGACCCAGGTGCGTGCCAAGTGCCGAATTGATCGAGGTCGACCCAGTTGCTGTGGAGAGTTTGCGGTCCATTTTGTGGGCCCTTGAACAAAATGGGAGTCTCGGCGTCTCGGCATGGTGGGGATATAAGAGGTTCTGTTGATCCGCTGGAATTGAAGACCACGAGCGAGCCTAATAGACGATGTTAGCTGCCCAATTCATCATAATAAGACGGAAGCAAAGGCGGGAAAAGCTACAGAGGTTGCGGTTGGCAGCTTATACGATCAATAGACACTTTGCGTTGAGAGGTCCGGAGTCTTTTTTAGTGCCGTTGTGGCTGTATAGCCAAGCCTTCTTTGGTCCAGGGCGAGATTTGACTCCAGTGCGGGGGTCAATCGACATGATTAGATCCTCAACCCTCGAATGCCCACAAAACCATCATCTTTAGTCCGATTGACACGATTTTTGATCCGTTGAGAAGCAGTATGGATCCCGAACACATCTATACCGATTTCTTGATCCAAATTGCGGAGCTTGAGGTGTTAGGGAGGGCTTTAGTAGAGGACAATTGACGGTGGAGAGGGCAACAGCGCGATGGTGGGCCAATCGACCTCAACACTCTAGAAGGAGAGGCGTGGAAAACCTATTTCAAGTTTTCAGAGGATGAAATATATCGCCTAGCCAACTGTTTGCATATTCCTGACAAGGTACAAAGCAGTGATTTGATTTCAGAGGAAAGAATCACAGCGTTATGCATGCTTCTAGCATGACTCGCATGGCCAAATCGATTGGCAGACCTGTACCTAAAATTCGGATGGAAGCCCGAAAGGCTTTCCCAAACCGTCAATACCCTATTACAATTAATTCACGATAAATGGAACCATCTAATCATATTTGATGCGGCTCGTCTGACACCTCAAAGATTGCATTACTTTACTTTGGCAATACAGAGCCGCGGGGCACCATTGAGTACTTGTTTTGGTTTTGTTGACGGAACTATTCGAAAAATAGCAAGACCAAAATACGGACAAGAGTCTGTATATAATGGTTGGAAACGATGTCATTGCTTGAAATATCAAGCAATTGTCACACCAGATGGTATTATTATTCATCTCTACGGTCCTGTAGAGGGTACAAAACATGACGCTGCTATCTGGCAAGAGAGTGGAATGGCCGACATTCTAGAGAGACATGCACATGCACCTGATGGAACTGGCCTGCAAATCTATGGTGATCCAGCATATGGCCTCAGCGAGCACTTGATTTCACCATTTCAAGGGGCTGCAATTACGAGAAATGAACAGCTTTGAAATAAATCAATGTCTAAAGTTGGGATCATTGTCGAATGGTGTTTCAAAGAAGTGCTGCAACTATTTACAGCTCTTGACTTTCCTCGTACACAAAAGGTACTCTTGTCCCCTATCGGCCGCCAATATCCCGTAGCAGTTTTGCTCCATAATGCACATGTCTGCCTCCATCGACCTCAGATACCACAGTTTTTCTCCAACCTTCAAGAAGACATAAACCTACTCGAGCCTCCAACATTGGAGGAAGACTTTCACTGACCTCTCGACCCACCCATACCTTGAATGAGTACATTCATAAGCTTCTCCATACTCTCATTCGTTGAGCGTGTGCTCTCAATCAGAACATCCAACTTCTCACTCAAGCACCGGTCCCTATCAGCCTTCTCACGTTCTCTTGCTGTAGTTTCTTCAGCTGCAATCTGTTCTCTTTGTGTTTTCTCCTGTATCGCAATCCTAAACTCCTCTGCCTTCTCACAAAGACCACCTATAACCCCTTCTACCTCCTTCGCAAACTGATTTTTTGAAGACCGCATTACTTTTTGAGCGGGCTCTGAGCTGCTTTCCTTGTCGCTATTGGTCTCCATCAAGTCTCTTTTCCTCACCAAACCTGTCTGAGAAGACTGGCGTACCTGTGCACCTTTTGCTTTTCTTTCCGCAATTTTTCCCTTCGCATCCTGTCTTATTAGATTATTATTGGAAACAGAATCATACAAGAGAACAATGTCAATCATATTCCGAAGGTGCTCGTTGACTTCCTCAACCTCTCCTGCTTTTTGGCGAGAGCGAATCTCTTCACTCCTGTGCCATTTGACTAACCGTTCCATACGGTCCTTACAGGAAATCCAAGAGCGAGTAATTCCCATTTGCATCAGATTATCCGCAACCCGCTGCCACCTATCCTCCCTTTTTCCAACATTGTTGAGAATAGGGTCATCGGCCAGAACCTGTTTGGCCAAAGCCATATCCTCCCATGCCTCCCAAACGGCACCCCTCTTTTTACTAGGAGTAGAAGAAGCAATCTCTGGATCCCTGCTCGCATCAGGGGCCGAAGGGCCTGACAAAATTTCAAACAAATCCATCTGCTATCTCGGTATTTTGGTATTTCTTCAAAGTGTTTCGACGTTTTGTTCCGCTGTTTCGTTCCTTCGTTTCGTTTGGAAGACACAACTATTCAATAGTCAGAGATTGTAGTTTCTATAAGGTAGATTTATATACCAATCTAGAAACAGTTGTCTGTCTCGATGTTTCGTTTCGGTGTTTCGTTTCGTTTCGTTCCAGTGTTCCAGTTTGCTGCTGTTTCGCTGTTTCGCTGTTTCGTTTGGGTAGTAGAGCTCTATTAAGCAGTTAGCTATGTAGCCTAGAAAGTGAACAGCATACATATCTGGTTGATGGTTGTGGGTGATATTTGATGCTTGAACTGAGTGCTGGTTGATGGTGAACAGGTTGAGCTCGCCACCCATGACATCACCCAATTTAGAGGTACCAAACACAAAGTGAAAAGCACTTCCGGACCTCGCACCCTGTTTCTTGGCATTTGGGGGGCCAGACCTCGCGAACCTAAAGTGTCTAATGAGAGGAAATAAGGTTTGAGCCGACCAGAGGGGCGTATAGAGTTGAATACGATTTCAGAGGAGGGCTGGAGATCACAGTTCAGGTATGACCAACAAACATGTATGCTAGATAGAGTCGGAATTAACTTTTTTTGATCAGATTTGCACAATCCGAGGTGGAACAGCTTGTAGTAGTTTTACAGCTGCCGGACAAAATCAAGGCAGATAATGGAATCGTTGAAGATAGAGTAGTGGCGATGTGTATGCTTTTGGCCCACCTGGCTTACCCAAACCGATTGACTGACCTTTGGTTCAAATATGGTTGGAGTCCCGAGAGAGTTTCACGGATATCCTCAACTGTTCAACTCATGATACATCATCATAGCCACAATCTACTATAGTTTGATAGTGCCTGCCTTACTCCAGAGAAGCTGGAGTAGTACGCAAGGGCTGTGCATGCCAAATGAGCCCCTTTGGATTCGGTTTGGGGATTTATTGATGGTACTGTATGTGCAATTGCACGTCCAGTAAGACGTCAACGTGCTGTTTATAATGGCTGGAAAAGGAAACACTGTCTCAAATATCATGTCATCGTTACCCCAGATAGAATAATTAGCCATTTATTTGGCCCGATAGCTGGTCAGCGGAACGATAATTATCTTCTGAATGAGTCCGGATTACTCAAATACCTCGAGCGGCATGCACCCAATACCAACAGCATCCCTCTACAACTATCTGGTGATCCAACGTACAGTATGAACAGACACCTACTCTCAACTTCACAAGGAACACGGATAACTAGAGATCAAAGAACATGGAATAAAGCCATATCCAAAGTGAGAATAGTCATTGAATGGGCGTTCAAGGAGGTGATCTGGTTTTTTGGATTCCTGGATTTCCCGAAAAACCAAAAGCACTTGCTACAGCCTGTGGGTTACAGTTTCGAGTTGCAGTTCTTTTACACAACATACATGTTATTCTCCATCGGCCCCAAATTGCATAGTGTTTTGATATAGATAGAGATGGAGGACTAGAGGATTATATAGAACAGCAACTCATTGAACCGTCCTCGTTAGATGGTTATTTTCATAATTAATTTCTAACATTATCATTTCTATCAAATCCACGGGCAAATAACCTCATCATGTCTGTCCACTCCTGCTTCCGCAATTCCCTCTCTCTATCTGCTTCTTTTTTTCTTGCCAAACGGTCCTCTTTCAATTCCTCTGCCAATGTTTTCAAACCAGAAACCAACTCAGAATGATACTTGGCGTCTACATCTCGCAATTCCATCAGAACAGCATTATCAGCATCCTCCTCCCTACTAAAGTCATTAAGCACCTTATCAATTCTTCTTGCTGTATCAATTTTTCTTTTTTTAGTAGAATGTGATTGTTCATTTTCTTCCCCACTCTCCTCCATATCACTTTGAGCTCTGATGTCATCTCTTTTACGAACCAAACCACAAAGTGAAGCATCTCGTACAACCTGTCCTTCTTCCTCTAGCCTTCTTGCTCACTCTACCACTACCTGCCATACTGATGGATCAATGCTACCTTGGTCCCACCTAATTACCAATTCATCCATATCTTGAATGAATTGGTTCACCTCCTCGTTGCCTCCTGTCTTTTGTAGTGATCGTGACTGATCACTTTTGTGAAGCAGTACAAAGTTCTTCATCCATGCCTGACAGGAGTCTGTACTTCTTCTAATTGCTTTAGGATGCATTTCAGATAGGTGAACCGATACCTCTAACTACTTTTCTGGAGTTCCCCCTCTGATGCAATTGATCGGGTCATCAGGAAAAACCTGCCTAGTCAAAGCCCTATCCTCCCATATCTTCCAGTTCACTGCCTTTCCTACAGGCCTTCCGATATCAATATCTGGTTGTGAAAATTGAGGAGATATAGGTTGTGGAGTTTGGTTGCACACCCGCATCTCGGCGTTGGTCACTGCATCGCGATATGGACTTCTGGAGGGACCCGCTGTAAGGCCTGGAGAAAATGCTTCTCCTGTGCTATATGAGTATCGGGGCACCTCAAGTTGAAATTGTAACAGGCCTGACATTTGTTCAGAGGGTTGGCTCTAGTTGTTCATTGGGTGGGACATAATAGTTCGCACTATTCTCAGTCTTCGCAGTCTTGAAGTCTTCGCAGTCTCGGCACTCTTTGCTACTATTCAGATCTCGGTACGGGTTCAAAAAAATCTGTTCGTGATGGTTTTATGCCTACTTCATGTTCTCCGCATATAGGCCCCTGCACTTTGGCGCCCAATCACTCTCACTATTGGCTGGCACCTCTAGTTCTGAAAATCCAGCTTTTAGAACTACAGCAGGTCGCATGAAGATCCAGGTCGACCAAATTCGGACTGGGGCGCCTTTCGCTGTAGCTGTGAAGCGATCTGGGTCTGCATTGCAAACTCTCTATTGTAACCAGATTTTGAAATTCACCAAGTTTTGCATTGCAACCATATTACACAGGCAGAAAAGTCTCTAGCAATTTGGCTTCAAAACCCAAAATACCCCTATCCCCCTACAACTACCCATCTACCCTGAACCATAAGTGGAAATGATAACCCCCTCCTCTTATTCTCCCCTTTTCCTCCTACACTGATGCAGGCTTGGCCTTTGCAATCCCCCAGCTCCTCAAAATGAATAAATGCCAAATCCTAAAAAATTCAGCCTTGAAGAAGCATTTCCACCTGCTGAAGACCTCCTCCAACACATCACCTGCACCTTCACCTACCAGGAAACAGCCAGCAACCCGGCCAAAGCCATCATCGGCCTCCTCTTGGGCCTCATAATCTAAATCGACAAATTCACCTCAGAGGTCAGTTCCTTGTCAGCAAGACACTACGCAGACATAAACCATCTCAACAACCAAATCGACATGGCAACCCCCCAGCAATGAACCACCAAACCTGCCCAGCACCCATTCATCAAGCGAGCTCTCACATCTGACACTCACCAGGGAGACCCACCCCCCCAATCATATATAAGGACGTCGACCTCAACGCCCCGATAGAGACTATCGATGCCGACGGAAACAGACGCGTCCTCTCTTACGCAGAGAAATTCAGCAGGTGACTTGTCAGCGTCTCTGAGCCTCTACCGCCCGTCCCCCCTTCAACAAGGAAAAGGCCAACACAAAAGTCACCTCCCTTCCTCCCCTTCTGGCAACCTCCCTACCGTCCAACGCCGCTTCTTTACCACCAGATCGAACTGCGCACCATTCACCAACCACCTTCACCTCGAAGCCAAACTCCCCCCCGAACTTGAAAGAGTCCTAGTCCACGTGGGCCTCACCCACCCTTACACTTTCCTCCAAGCCCAAATCAACCGTAACGGTACTGTTACTTGCATAGTCTCACCCTCCACCCCTGCCAAAGACATCGCCATATACTTCTCAGGCTTCCTCACTGTTCCAACTTCGCCTGTCATGCGGCTGAGAACCCCTTCAACGAATTCCAGCTGGCCCCCATCAACACTGACTACGCTGTCCACAATGTCCTCCTCTCCACCCTCTCAGAGTACCTAGACCTCTTTGTGTCAGAAATTGCCGAAGCTGTAGCTCTCGCCACAGGCGCCTCCATATCCCATGCCCTTTTCCTCTCCAAACCCAAAAACAGACAAGGAAAGAACACCAACTCCATCGTCATCTCTGTCTCCGCTGACGACACTGACAAGATTGGAGGGACAATCTGCCTTTTTGGCCGACCCCGCTGTTGCAACAAGCTCTGGCCCATCTCCCCCAACACATTATACCGCAAATGCGCTCGCCTAGGATACACCACCGAAGAGTGCCAGGCATCCTTTCCGACATGCTCTATCTGCTCCGGGAATCACCTACACAAAGATCATACATGCCTAAACCCTTCCTGCCCCAAGGAAGGTCACCTCAAGCCGGTCACCGACTGCAACCCATACCCCTTCTACAACTTTAAATGCGTTAACTGCAGTGGCCCCCATCCTACATCCTCCAGAGTGTGCCAATCCAGGCGATCCTACCTCAACTCCACCACCGCTGCCGAATCCCCCACCAACCAAAACTTCCCTACTTCCGAACCCTCCACCAACTAAAACTCTCATTCCCCACTCTAATCAGAATCGGTCACCACAGGCTCACAACAAAGCCCTGTAGATGCGGATATCAGAATGGATAATTAAATGCCAGCAAGGTCCTCATCTCTCCACTCCTCACCCCCCCTCTCAGAAACACAAAAATCAGACATATCAACCAGAGATCCTTCCGGTAATTCCCTTACCATAATGCAAGTAAACTATGTAAGAAGCAATTCAGTCTCCCTCTCTCTTGTCTCGTCTATCTCAAAACGTCGGCCCCTGCACAGAGTCGCAGTACAAGAACCCTTCACCATCCTTAACTACCCTCTCAATGTACCCTGATACGAATGCATCTACCCCCCTGTCCTTACTGATGAGGCCACCTCTGTGACCTTCTACATACACTCAGATTTCCTCCAAAACATCTCCTACTTCCCCATAAACTTCGACATTGGCGACATCTTCGGAATCGCAATATATTGGAAGAATCAAGACTTCCCATGCTCACCCGCTCAAATAGAGTTCATCAATGCCTACAATGGCTACCTGACCCTGGCTAAAAGATCCATCCCACTAGATCTCCTTTTCCGCAACACCCTAAACACGAACATCATATGCGGAGACTTCAACATCCACAACATATGTACCAAACCAATCCGCAACACAAACAGAAGGGAAGAAAATATATCCTCCCCCTATTTCACCGCCGCAGTCGCTCACTCCTACTCTTTACTCAATGTACGAGGAAGATTCACCCGAATCTCACCCAGTTCCCTTCAGAGAATTGAGTGATAGACTTACCCTTCACCAACCCTCCATACCTCAACCTTTTCTACTCCTGGTCCAACCGGTTACTGAACGCAGGGTGAGACCACACCCTCATCAAACTACAATTCACACTCTCACCTACCATAATGAGCCCCCCCTCCTACACTCCATACTGGAAGAAAGCCCCATGGCCTGAAATCCAAGCTACACTCCGCTCAGTCATCCCCCCCTCCCCCCGTCACCTACCCGATCGACCACTGGTTCGGAACTGCACTCGCAGCCATAACCGAACCTGTCATAGCAGCCACCCCCAGCAAGAGACCCTCCTAATGGTCGAAATCCTGGTGGTCACCACACCTATCAGATCTCAGACGAATCTTCAACTACATTGCATGTGCGTACAAAAAGGGAATGTCTCACCCATTCGAGTAGAAGGCAGCCTGCAACGTATACATCTCAGCCATCCAGCATGCCAAAGAAACACACTGAAACAAGTTCATCGCGCAAACTAACTCCCAACAAATATGGGCTCTTAGGAAAAACTCGACCAAAAGCAAGAACATCAAACTCGCCCACTTCCTCAATACCGCCACCCCCAACAACATCAACTAAGGCCTCATATTCCACTTTTCCCCCGCCCCAACATAATCCCACCCCTGCCTTACAATCAGGCTTCTTTCCTGATACCCCCAAAGTAACGGAAGAAGAAGTCTTTAAAGCTTTAGCCGCCTCCTCCAACAACTTTGTACTTGGCCCAGACACTTTCCTCCCCATTGCCTGGAAGGAATACACAGAGAAAACCCCTTCCTCATCCCCCAACTACTCACTCCCCTCCTTCGCAGTGGTTACCAACCCGTAGGACTGAAAAGTGCATTCGGGTAGTCCTATCAAAACCCAAAAAACCTGACAACAACTCCCCCACCCCATATCGCATCATAGTTCTTCTTGAAATAGTTCCAAAGATTCTCGAACGAATAATGGCCTACCGATTGCATATCTTCACCTCAACCTGATGCCTCATACACCCCTGTCAATGTGGATCTATCAAAGGCCTCTCAACCGCAGATGCTGCTACCACCCTTATTTACGAAACCAAACTCTTCCAAAGAGCAGGACTGAAAGTCTCCTCCCTCTTCCTGTACGTCAAAGGTGACTTCGACTAGCTCGTCCCATCCATCCTAGCGGACACCCTCCGCAACAAAATACCCCCCTATATATGGTCCAAAGGGTCCTCTCCTTCCTCTTTGACTGCAAATGAACCTCCCTCTTCCCAGGATCCCCTAAGGCGTTCTTACCGGTTGAAGTAGGCGTCCCTCAGGGCTCCCCTATCTCCCCATTCCTTTTCTGCATCTATGTTGCCCCTCTCCAAATCGGCCCATGCCTAGGCATAATGCTCTCCTACGTAGACGATTTTACCTTCACAGTGGCATCCCCATCCTACATGCAAAACATCACCCCACTCGAAGATGCCTACCTACAAGTAACAACTACAGGCTTTTCTCGAAACATCAACTTCTTACTCCCCAAAACAGACCTCATCCACTGGCATACCACCACAGATAGAGACACCCTCTCACACCTCCCTATCACCATCAATCAGATGGCTGGGACTCCAGCTTTCCGACAACCTCAACAGCTTCAACCAATTCTCCAAGAGATGCTCCTCTGCCCGAGCCTCCTTCGCAATTATACGAGGGTTCACCTGAGCAGACAAGGGCCTCACACCACTCAACTGCCGAAGACTAGCAGTCACCGCCATACTCCCATTGCTCACCTACGGTGCATCAGTCCTCATACCTACGTCACGAACCCTTAAACGCATCGAAACCACCTGGCACACCGTACTCAGATCAGTGATGAACTACTTCAGATCCACACCACTCACAGTACTACAGGCTGAGGTATCCTTTCCACCTCTCGACCTATACATTCATCCCTCCACTTACGATTTGCCACCTGTATTCAAGTTACATCACCAGCCTACAATCCTATCACTACATGCAGTCCGGAAACCTTCTACACCTTTTCCAGCTACAGGAAACCCTCCCACCAACACATCCTGCACAGAAAACCCAACTCACCCATCAATTGGAACTCCAACAAAACAGGAGTAGGCCCCCTCCCCATCGATGACCTCTGCAACTCCCTCCTCACCAACTCCCTTACATCCAGCGAGGATACCAACACCATCCACCCAGGCTTATGGCTCTCTATTAAGAAAGATACCCTCCAGTTCTGGTGAAACAGCCCCCTCCCAGACTACTATATCTTCGAGATCAATACTCGACCCCACCTCCACCTCTCCTTAGATCGCTTCACCGCTGGCCGCATATGCCAGATGCGCGCTCACAAAAGCTACCTCGCCGCTCACGCCTCATGAATGTATCCAGATCTCCCCCCCACCTTCTCCAGGTGCCTCCTCAAAGATGAAGAGCTTGAGCACGGCATACTCCGCTGCCCTGAAGGTGCCCCCTATAGAGCTACCCATATACCGTTCGCTATATCAATAGATGACCTCTGGTCAACTGCCATCTCTCTAGCAGCCCTCTCCTCATACATCAGAGCCACCAGGACATGGTTCCCCCCCCCAGATGGTCTCCCCAAATCTCTACCATACGATCTCTCATCCGACTCTGCCCTCACCTCGATCTCATCAAGCTCCGATCCTTCTATAACATAAACAGCCGCACACTGGAAAGGCCCGCAAAAACACCACAACCACTAGAACCAAATTGATTCTCCTCTCTTTTCTTATATCCTGAGATAAATATTGCTTAGCTGGTATGAAAATATATAACCCAAAGAACGGGACGACCGAATTTCTAAGTTTGATTTTCTTCGGAGGGAATGTCAGGGTTTCTTTTCAGTTATTGCTTCGTGTTTATATCTTTCCTTTGTTCACTTTCTTTCAGTGGTTAGGTAGGGGAAGGGTGTTGTTCAAGCCGTAGCGTAGGCTCCATGCCATATTCTTGTACCCATAAATAAATGAAACACTAATATAAAAAAAAAAAACCCGAGCTTGACCCGGGTAGCACCCCGCGGGTATGGGTTGAGTATGGACTCTTTTTCAACGGGTCGGGCCAGGTATGACTTATATTCTGACCCGAGTATACCCAGCTATTTCATTGGTGAGAAAAAGGGACTTTATCAGTAAAAAAAGATAATATATTTCAAATACCCACTATGGTAATTATCAAATATCTCCGAAATTACAGGAAAGGAATAGTATACCTCCGGATTTATACCTATATAGGAGGCAGATTTACCCGAGTAAAACACCCATAGGCTGGGCCGGGTCAGGTACAAATATTCTGAGGTCGGGTCGGGTTGATTACAGATTCTTTTGATACCCGGGTGTACCCATTGAGATGTCTGATGATCGGCAGGACAAATCGCGACTGAGGGACCAAATGGAGGTCAGAGCGGAAAATACCCTTTTTTATTCAGAATACCATCGTGACGGTCCACTCTGCTCCACGCCGGCGAGAGTATTGGCAAAATATCGTCTTGGTTGCGGTAATTCGAGGACTAATGGCTGATAGCTCAAAGACAGGTCACAGCAAGTATATATCTCCTTGACCTTGCTGCCTTCAAATCTTTCTTTTGTGGCTTACTTTGCATTCCTCTTCAGCTTTTCTTTCGTGATTTACATAGGGGACGCTATGAACCGGAGTGATTTCGGGGGTTAAGTTTAACCGCTAATGACGTTCCCTAACCACACTCTAATTAATTTTTCTCTATTTTGTTCGATAGGTCTACTTCTTCTCTACAACATGACAGTGCTGGATTAATTGTATCTTTTGTTGTTGTGGAGCTATTAATTTTCTAAAAGTTGGCTTTTTGGTGGGAGACCCAACCAATGCCGCGCTCATAATTGCCTATTTTGGAAAGTCATTGTCCGGGTTTAGCGGAAGGTTCTCGTTAGAGAGCGCCAAGAGGTTAACCTTTGCAAATTACTAGCGGTAAAATGATTAAATAATTACCCAATTGGGAAATTGATCATCAGGAATAGATCAATCAGTTACAGACATAACCAGGATTAGGTAGTAGACGAATCAACCTTGGTGCCACCGCCTGCGCACGTACTCTCGGCTGACCGGCACCTTCCTTGAAAGGTGAGTTTTGTGTATTCCGCTGTGAGATGTTTTAGCCGAATTTGGAATGTGACTGCATAGGATGACAAGGGGACAGTGGCGAGGAGTCCAACCATGCAGATTAGCGCCCAGTAATGGATCACCGATCAGTATCTTCAATTGGACCATTATTAGAATCTCGAACTTAGGCGAAAAACGCGGAGTGCAACTGAGTGCTATATGATTAACAGCATACCACCACAATCTTACAATTTATCTCGATACTGTGATTTTGGCATTTTGTCTGCATTCTTAACATCAACACTTGCTTGGTTGTCCTCATTATCACCAATCCTACCACCATGGGCTCTGCTCTATCAAAGTTGCGCCGCACTTCAAAGAAAGGCTTGAGAAAGAAAAAGGGTTCTCCACCCCCACAAGATGTGGTGCCGCAGGCAGATCAGATACCGGTGGCCTCGCGGGAGCCGGACATACCGCCCGATGAACGCAGCACCCTACGGTTCGTTCAGTCTGGCGATGCTACCAGGTAAGTTCTGAAGATGATAAGCCTCAAGCGAAAGTTTTCTAACTTCTATTGAAAAGTCCTCAAACGATCGATCCCCCCGAGTTTCCATCTCCCCCGGCCTTACCTACATTCTCATATCCTATAACGGACCCAGTAAGCGGCTATGGCAACAACACTTTTATCCAGATGCACCTAATGCCACCAACAATAACCTTTACAGAACCACAATTTGAGCCACCGCCTAGACCTTTAGCAGCACCGATTTTAATCACATCAGCAGAGAGCGAAGCCCCACACCGACACGCAGGACTCTCTCCAGCAACACGTAACCACGCATCTAAAAATACGACAACGTCAGACGATGTAATCGCTGATAACATCAAGCGGTAATGGCTCATCGGATCTACTAAAGTGTGAGGTTGGGCGATACTGATATCTCTTATGTGGCGTAGATCTTGGTTATGGGGCGAAGCTATAGCGATCTTGAAAAAAAATCCCGATGTGGAGTTAGACGATGACGGAGACAATACAGAGGCACCAGTTAGGAATTTAATCGACAAAGTGGAGGATTTGCGGAAAGCCGTTGATGAGAAAAGATTTAGTTTTAAAAATGCAAAGGGCGATGATGTGTTCATTGCCGACAAGATTTTTGGTCAGCTCAAGAAGTATGCACCAATAGGCGACATCGCTTTGCAGCATAATCCAGATGTGGTAGCATTAGTTTGGGCTGGGTTTAGGTTTCTCTTGGATGTTAGTATTTATTGAGATTGTAGTAAACTCCGCTGATAATCGACAGGAAGGAGTTGCGTATACCGAGGATCTTGCAAGGATCTTGAGTAGTCTGGGCTATCTTTCGTGGGTCATATGCTGTGGGGCAATTTATGAGCAGTTATACATAGATCTTGAACAAGGATCAATAACCGACATCCAGGACTGCTTGATCAAGCAATACGTTTCGATTTTGGAGTATCTTTTGTGCGCAAAGAAGCATCTAGAAAAGAACACGGGTGGTAAGAATTCTCTGATACAAGTGGAAAACAAATTTCCGGTACTAATGCGAAACTAATGAAATGATTTCAACCTCTGCTGAATAGTGCAAATCATGCAAAGTCTCTCTTCAACACTTGCGGACTTATTGCAAAAAATACGTGATTCGGAGGAAGAAACCAGAAAGCGGGCGGAAATAATTGAAAAAGAAGGTTTGAACTCTCTGGTACACCTGGGAGTCCGTAGTGTCATATACTAATACCCTGCTCAAGCCGCCACTATGGAGCGATTAAGTATACTGCCCATGCTTCCTTACGTTCGCGTCTTCTAGGCCCTAACACCAGATGGGATTGTTAGAACAGAATAAATCACGCGTAGAGCTTGAGCGGCAGCTAAAGGATGTCAGGGGACAATTGAGGATGGTGGAGACGACCTTAAATTCTTGCCATGAAAGCATTAAGCGGCTTCGCCAATTTGTTGACAGTACGTCTGTACGCAATTCTACCTTACTATTTAACAATCTAACCTAAGAAGAGCAAATCATAACTACCACTTTAGACTGGGTGTCTACAACCCAGTTTGGGAAGATTCACTCGGAGCATTGTCACCGACGGGCGGCTGACACATGTCAATGGCTGACGGAAAACCCTAAGTTTGGTGACTGGATTTCTTCCAAGTCTTCATCCTCTGTCCTATGGCTTAGAGGCGGTGGTAAGAGAGTCTTTCAGGTGCTGTACGTAGTGGTTTTGCTGATAAGCTGATTTTCTTCAAGCTGGTACTGGAAAAACAATCCTTGCGTGAGCAATGAATGTCTCCCGATTTATTTCATCTTTCATACTAAGACAATCGATAGATCCTTTGCAATTGAGTTGCTGAAGAAGAATACGCTCTCCACTGATGCATGCGTGGCATACTTCTACTGTAGTATACATGATGAGGAAAGATCTAGCCCTAGTTCCATCCTCCGAGCTCTTTTGAGACAGGTTTGTCTTGCATACTCGCTTGATGGACTACCACGCGCGCTGGTGGAACTAAAGGAGCAAAAGGAACGGGAGTCTACTGATATATTAACTGTCAAGGAGAGTACGGATCTTATCATTGAGCTCTCTCGACAGCTCAGTGGCGTGTGGGTGGTAATCGATGCCCTGGACGAATGTCACCAAAGCACCCGGAAGGATCTTTTTTATGCCCTAGAAGCGATTGAAAAGGGGGGGAGAGGAATTCGAATATTTGTCACGGGCCGTAACGAAGGAGACATCATTGCTTACATGAACGATTATGAGGACTATCTCATCGAGCCCCAAGATAACCTCAAAGACATTCAACGCTATATCAAAAGTGAACTTGATGCGCTATACAAGGATCCTGCCAAGAAAAGCATGGTGGACGAAATGAAGAGCCGCGAAGGGGAGATCCTGAAAGCGCTGCAGGAAAATGTTGATGGAATGTATGTATGCCCCAATTATAGTTATAGCCTCCGGGCTGCATACAACCGAATTATCAATCAGTCACCAATTAGAGTTTCACGTTTCCTGTTCTAACGGATACAGGTTCCTTTCGATTCATCTTAGGATGCAGGCATTAGCCCGCGAGACAACAATAGAGGGTGTAACGAATACTCTGGCAGTGTTTCCGCAAGGCCTGAGTACTATGTATGACGAAATATTCAGGAGGATCGGACAGCAAAGCACTACAGACCAAGTGTCTGCTCTAAAAGTGATCAAATGGCTATACTACGCGATAGATGACTTTTCCCCAAAAACGATTGTTCAAGCAAAAGACAATCTTTCGTTAGCTGCAGACCCATCTGAGGAAATCATGAAACGAAAGATTGACAATGTCCTCCACGTGTGTTGTGGACTCATAGTATACGATCCCGAGACGGGCATTCTACGCTTTTCTCATGCCACCGTTAGACAGTATCTGGACGAAGGGCCCAAGGACTATGTTAAAGGAGGCCAAGAGTGGATCCTCGATCGTTGCTTCTCAATTCTTACGTGCCCGTCATCCGAGCGTCCAGACCCCAGCTCTTTAACTTCCTTCCGTCAAGATTTGTTCACTTACTCAATGCGGAATTGGGGCACACACCTTCGTGGCACCAACCGGGTACCTTCCTGGTCCAGTTTTCTCAACCCCTTATCTCCCCATTACGAGTTCTGGGCACACAACATAGGGATGCTTATTCCTACTCTCAAGGCTCCTACAGGGGAAGCTATTACTCTGGTCTGGGCAGCTTGTTATTACAGACTATTCGATGTCGTTGAGAGAAACCTGCATACCTTTACACCTACCTCTACAAACTCTGCCGGACGCACACCGTTACATTATCTCGCTGAAAAAGGCGACCTCGACCTCCTTATGAAATTGGTTGACCAAACAAATGTTGATTTAAACGTCAGGGATGAAGTGGGCCTTACGCCACTCATACTGGCAGTTAAATACAATAGGGCGGAAACTGTTAGCTTTCTACTGCGTATAAAGAGACAGTCCGTTGTTCCCCAGATGGGCGGTGGTGACGCCGGTACTACCCTCACGCAGATGTCAACTTACTGTGATATCAACCTAGCAGACAAGAATGGCCTTACCGCGATTCACCATGCTACAGCGGAGGGGCATAATACAGTTTTAGAGTACATCCTCCGTGACCCACTACTGAATATCAACCACAAGTCTAAGGCGGGGGACACGGCACTATCTCTAGCTGTTGGTGAGGGAAATGAACTAGCCGTACAGGCCCTTTTGCAGCATAAGGACATCGACCCGAACTGCACAAATTCGCGGAGCGAAACACCTCTTATCACTGCTGCTCGGCTTGAACATCGAAACATACTAGAGCTTCTCATTGAACATGAAAGGATTGATGCAAATTGCGGCATGGGATTAGATAACCTATTCATAAAAGCAGCGGAGGGCAATAAAGCATGGCTAGTCGAGTTGTTGTTGAAAGGCAAAAATATAGATATTGAGCGTCGAGGAGTGAGCGAGTGGACTGCCCTATATAATGCTGTGGAGTCTGGTTCATTGGAAGCGCTGAAGCTGCTCCTGTCTCATGGGGCAGATGTCAATGCATTAACTAAAGACTCATGGGCTCCCCTCCACGCCGCCGCGTGGAAGGGTAGGACGGAGATGGTCAAGTCTTTACTGTCTCATGGGGCAGATGTTAATTCCGCGATAGCAGACGGTTGCACTGCTCTGTATCTGGCCGCTGAATTTAACCATGTAGATTCAGTAAGAGAACTCCTATCGCATGGAGCAGACATCGATCACGCAAGCGATACAGGTTTCACTCCTCTACATATCGCGATTCAAAAAAACAGCATGGAGTCAGCACGGGAACTCATAGCTCATGGGGCAGACGTCAAGGCGACAACTAAAGATTTAAGGACTCCCCTCCATAAAGCGGCGTGGAGTGGTAAGACAGAGATAATCAAGTCTTTACTGTCTCATGGGGCAGATGTCAATTCCGCGATAAACAACGGTTCCACTGCTCTGTATCTGGCCGCTGAATTTAACCATGTAGATTCAGTAAGAGAACTCCTATCGCATGGAGCAGACATCGATCGCGCAAGCGATACAGGTCACACCCCTCTACATATCGCGATTTCAGAAAACAGCATGGAGTCAGCACGGGAACTCATAGCTCATGGGGCAGATGTCAATGCATTAACTAAAGACTCATGGGCTCCCCTCCACGCCGCCGCGTGGAAGGGTAGGACGGAGATGGTCAAGTCTTTACTGTCTCATGGGGCAGATGTTAATTCCGCGATAGCAGACGGTTGCACTGCTCTGTATCTGGCCGCTGAATTTAACCATGTAGATTCAGTAAGAGAACTCCTATCGCATGGAGCAGACATCGATCGCGCAAGCGATACAGGTTTCACTCCTCTACATATCGCGATTCAAAAAAACAGCATGGAGTCAGCACGGGAACTCATAGCTCATGGGGCAGACGTCAAGGCAGTAACCAAAGACTCATGGACTCCCCTCCACATCGCCGCGTGGAAGGGTAGGACGGAGATAATGAAATCTTTACTGTCTCATGGGGCAAATATTGATTCCGCGGTAGAAGACGGTCGCACAGCTCTCCATATCGCCGCTCAATTTATGCAGACAGAGTCCTTACGAGAGCTCCTTTTAGCTAGTGCAGATGTCAATATGGTGGCCCATGATCCGAGGAAGGATACAAATCATGCAAATGACAGCGACCGTACTGCCCTTCATTATGCCTGTGAGTCCGGTTCTATCGATGCAGTCAAGGTTCTACTAGAGGACGCGAGGATAGACGTTAAGCCTCGCAACAATCACGGTACAACACCACTGTTGAGTGCTAGTGAAAAAGGCTATACCGAGATTTTCAAGCTGCTTCTGGAGCGCTACGACAAAACCGATAGACTGCAGGAAATGGACGGCGACGATGACACCCATCTCCTACTCGCTGCGTCATCGGGCAAACTGCGAATCGTCGAACTTGTCTTGGAGAGGAGGGGACACGATATTAATCACCAAAACAAGCTCGGTCAGACAGCGTTGATACGGGCTGTGATTAACGGGCACACTGAGGTTGTGAAACGATTGCTGAGAGAGGACGGTATCGACGCAAATATCGGAATAAAGGATATATGCCTTAGAGCTCTACATATCGCCGCTGTAAAGAATCATGTAGAGTGCATACGAGCGCTCCTCTCACATGGGATAGATGTCAATATCGTGACCCAAGAGCCTACGAAGATTAATCCAGATGACGGAGATCACAGCGGCCGTACTGCCCTTCATTATGCCTGTCTGCACGGTTCTATCGATGCAGTCAAGGTTCTACTAGAGGACGCGAGGATAGACGTTAAATGTACCAACAATCACGGTTCAACACCGCTGTTGTATGCTAGTCAATATGGCCATATCGAAATTGTTAAGCTACTTCTAGAGCGCTACGAGAAAACCGATAAATTGCAAGAAATGGATGCTGACGGCGATGGAATTCTCATGTGTGCTGCCTACGGTGGACATACCAGTATGATTGAGTTTCTATTAGAAAGAGGCGGGCATGATATCAACTTCCCAAATAAACTTGGGAACACGGTCCTAATACGCGCGGCTACGGAAGGGCATACAGCGGCCGTTGAGCTGTTGTTGAAACAGGAGGGAATTGACGTTACACTATCGAACAAGGAAGGGAAAACCGCGTCTGACGTTGCGAAAGAAGGAGGATACGAGGAGATTATGGCTCTGTTGAGGCCACATATGGTTGTGGAGGAGGCATGAACTGGTCAGGCGGCGATATGTTTTCGGTTCAGGCTTTCTTGTTAGTATGCTTTCTTGTGAGTATGCTTTTATGTGGGAAAAATCGTTTTGTTGTGGCTTTGGGACAGACAATTTCTTATCTATTTTGTTGTTTTTCACATAATGCCTCGAGATTATCTATTTCCACTATATCTGTTTTTGAATATGCTAGGTTTTTCTGTTTTTCTTACGAATTTGAACTTTGTGCGGTGTGTATGCAATGAAATGTCTTTTATCTTGAAGTTCCCCAAAGCACGTGCACCCTCGTCCTCCGAAAAGTATAAATCTGTGTTCCCGGGCACCCCCGATCATCCGAAAATATAGAATTGCGAGCGATGTCTTCCCCATCCATGAGTTCTCACTAGTAAGATCCCCACTCTGAAGCCAAGCGTTCAACGTACTTCTGCGGGCGGTGGCCCAAAGGTACTGCTCCTACACATCCACCTGCCGGAGGAGCGCACACCCCCGGCAACCCAACTACCCTTTCGCTGAAGCCTGGAGGTTTGAACTACGCGACCGCCGCCCCCGACTCCTTTTCAGAGTATGGTTGCAGTGGATTTCACTGTGTGCAATCAGGTGCCGCTATTTATCCTGTCCACCTGTTCTCAAACTATACTTACACCGTGAAGCAGTATCTATGCCACTAAACACAGCACGTTCAACAATAAAATGCAGCCACCTCGCAGCTAGTTCTGTTACGGCTCATCCACGAAGCCAGTTTATCCACGAAGTTTGGTGAGTGAACTAGTTGATCCAGGAAGAGAGATATATATCGGAATGTTTCAGCTCAGTCAGGAAAATTTCGGTCAACTCACGAAATCAGCGGTAAACTGATAAGGAAGAAGGTTCGACCGTGATTGCCTACGCGGCAAAAGGAAACACCCAGGCACCGGAGGAGTACGCTGTAACTGATCCCACATAGAATTACATCACGGTCTTTAGGGGGTGGGGATATATTCGATTTTAAAATCAGCTCACGAGGATACAAATATTTTCTCCGTAATAACCAATACTTCCTGACTGAACTGGTTCACCCACAAAACTTCGCGAGTGAACTGTCTTCGTGAATGAGCCGTAACACTTCCATGCACCCCTCCCCCCGCAGCGGTAAAATCCGCGCCAAATCAATGCGGGGCCAAACCTCACCCCCGGTTCCATTTCCGCGCTACTCATACCGCGTCTCCTTTGCACCTCCGTAAGTGAAGCTGACACCCAAGCCGACGCCTAGAATTATCGCCACTCAAGGAATTCCCCTAACCTTGCCATTCATCTCCCTCTCAGCTTTATGGTCATCCTCGGACCCCGGTACCAGCTACTCAGCCGCTCTCCTCATCTCGGATTCGTAGTGGAATTACTAGCAGAGATATCGACGCGCTCAGCATTTTCCACCTGTTAGATCTCCAGGCTCTATAATATGCACTGGTTTGCCTTCCATGGGAGGTTAGACTTTGAATTGCGTTGGGTAGCTATGGGTGGCGCTGAAGCTTGTCATGTGGGTGTAGATGTACGCCGGTGGGAGGTCCGAAGCGCGAGCTAGGGAAGATCGAGGATGTAGGGAGATCAAAGTCCCAACTTCAGATCGCTGGATAAACCTCGAGCATTCGCAGGTTCAGAAACGCTGATCATGAAGGTGCTTTTATCGCATCCCCGCCCAAGCAGCCTGATAACCGGTGTGGACTTGAGAGGGCGGCGGAGATGCTCGACCGCGGCCGCTCCCCCGCATCCGCTGCGGGCATGCATGGGAGTGGCGGTGGAGATGAATCTAGAGCACAGGTCTGGTTGCTCTTTGTGGCTCTGGATTGTGTATTAGGTCTGATGAGAAAGAAGGAAAGGAACTTCACCTTGTTCACCTTGGTGGTAAGTATGCTGCCAATATCGATGATAACTATTGGAGGGTGGGAAATGACTTCGTTAATGCAAAAGTGAGCTATTAGCCATACTCGTACCGATTAAGAGCCACACATCACGCTGATTGAATATCGTCCACCTCATACTCACGAGCCCCTGACACCCAAACGTGGATCCCATCACCCCCCACAATGATAGTGGTAAATGTATCGAGTGATAGATTATGATGCATGGCGTGACCTCGGAACCGAGTGATATTCTATGACACGGGTCTTTCCGAACGCCGTGCTCTCTCGCGGAGAGATTCGCAGAACGGGAAGAGAAGAAAGGCGGTTGGATTGTTCCCTGTGTATTAACAGCATGCCTGTGGAAGGGCAATGAGCGTGGATCTTGATAGGATAAGGCGCGCGGGGGTGGGTTTTGGTTTCGTCGAGCCTCAAAAGGGAGGGAGCAAGAGAGAGAGGTACATGAACAAAAACCCAAGGTCGTGTATTCCACAGAGAGCTTAAGAAGGTCATAGCCTAATCTTTTGCGCCTGCCCTTTTTGACCGCGCAGGAGAGAGGCCAGTCAGTCCGTATTTGCGATGCGCCGAGGGGTAGGTTACGATCGAGACCTGTCAGTCTGCTTCTGCAATATGGCGAGGGGTTAATACACATAGCTAGCAATCGAGAGGTAAACTTCTTACTTCTAGCAATAGAAAAATACATGCTCTCGAGGTATTCACCCGGAAAATGTGCGGGGTGGGATCCGGAGGTGCCAAGAGAGATTTTACGGCGGAGGATAAGCTGGTAGGTGCACGATAGAGCACTGCATTGGCAGCTGTGATCGATTGATTGCGTAAGAGGGATTGCACTCGCTCTTCCGGTGGCATTGGAGCGGTGTTTTGACTGACTCGCTGGGAATGGAGATATCTACAGCTAGCTTAGGTCAGCAGCGCCTGGTATATGCATAATATGTAGGTTTTGGGGACTACACAGACCGGTGGAGTCTGCGCGACAATATGTACCTTGATAGTTTCTGGCTAAAGCCTCGTGACGGGGTTAGCGCAATTAGCGAAGGTACTGTGTATATGTACCTATTACCATATCTTCCGACTCGACTCAATTTAGAATATTGATATCCTTGTAAGGAGAAATTTCCTCTTTTTGTATCAGTAGATGGCAACGTCCCCAATCGTCTTCTAGCTCTCCAGCGTCATCTAGCACCAATGGCAATTGTTTACCTTTCCGAGATCGGGAGTACAGGTCCGATGGACCGCATTTTAAACACCCTGTCTGTGCGTAGGAGTATATCCCAACCCTCCTATAGCCTTAAGTGCAGCAGCACCTAGCACAATCCATCCTCATCCATATTTAATATTCTTCGCCTCCCACTCTGACATAAACATCAACGCCGCTCACCCCCGGTGGATCAAGACGGCTACTAGCTGTCCATTTTCAAATCTTCCGGAGGTTTGTGTCACCTCTATCATATCCTGCTTTCGGCGGGGAGTAATACAGCACTTTAAAGTCTGACCTACCACCTGTATCCCCTCGCCAGCATCCGCACACCCGGGGTGATCGAAAATCCCAGTTGCGTGCATCCTACCCTGCTCTCCCCCAGGAGCCTATACTAGAGACTCTCTCAGTATACCCACAATCACCAAAAAAGAGTTATCCGGCGCTTCCCACCGCCCCTCCTCGTAAATACGAAAAACCGTATGCGGGACATCCACATGTTTCGAGTGATATTCGGGCTCCGCAGTCGAGTGAGAATGTGTGACCATGTAACCACCGGGATCTTCGAGAATGCGGTGGATTCGTTTGCGCGTGGAGTCGGTATTTAGATGTGTTATTTGTGAGGTGAGAAAAAGAGAAAGGTTGCGAGGTGGGGTAGGTCGGATGCATCACAGGCCATCACTCGCGCCTTGGCGGGGTGTAGTTGTTGGAATTGTGTTCCGAGCCCAGGAGCAAAGTCTTAATACTCATATGAGTATTAGTATATATGTCAATATGAAGTCATATATGGACTGTTCTAGGCACAATATTGTTGTATAAATATAGTCTTGAAATGCCCCCTGAATTATAGTTAGGCAAGTCAATTAAGAAAGTCACAGTCTTCCGCATTTATTATTATTTATTATTCTTCACTACTATTTATTTTCAACAGGTTATGAGCGCGGATAGCTCTGACTTTCTACTTACCTCATTCTTTATTTCTCCTCGCTACGACAGCTTACATTACGTCACTACAACGGTACCTGTCAACGCAGACTAACGTTGAAGATGACCACGAGTTCCCTCCTCAACCAGCCAGAAGGCTCCATATTTAGGAGTATATATGGAAGCACTCCTAAATTGACCACTACAAACTATCATGAATGGTGTGCAGCCATAAAGCTGATGTTACAAGCAGAGGATGCTTTGAATATAACCTTGGGAAGTGAAGAATTACCTTGTGCTGGACGCGCCGCGGCGATGTCGGATTATCGAAAACGGTCTGGCATTGCTGCTGCTATGCTAAGTAGCTCTTGCACAAATGGAGTTAAGCACTATATCAGCCAAATGACGAACCCAATGGAGATATGGTTGGAACCGTTGACAGAGACGAATAGTGCCAACACAGGTATCGGACATGTCACACTGAAGAGACAATTCAATACTCTCAAACCAGAAAACAATGACATTCATACCTCCTACATCTCCAAGCTACTGAGCCTCTGTAAACAGCTGTTGAACACCGAACGGCCCATTACCGATGACGATCTTATCGATAAAATTCTCAGCACTTTACCTCCACACTATGATAGTGTTGTGGATCTCATTACACACAAGACACAAGGTGTAGAACTTACAATTGACTATGTTCTTGATACACTAAAGAATTGGTCAGTTGGTTATACCAACCGCTTATCTCAAGTGGGAGCTACATCAAACTCCAGCAGTATAATGACAATGATGAACGCACTTGTCGCCGACGGTAACAGTAAACCCAACTTCAAGAAACAAAACCATCATCACCATCAACGAGGACGCGGCGGTCATCGACGATTCAACAATGGAAACAGATCTCAAACCTGCACAATAAAATGCTACTATTGTACAGAGAGAGGCCATGGGATCTCAATCTGTTCCTTCAGAAAAAGAGCATTGATCCATAGGAAAGAGCGCAAAAAAGCCAAGAAAAACACATTCAATCAACTGAACAACGAAGACGATACAGAATACCAACATAACGATGGCCAAGCATCAATTCCAACAGTTGTACAAGCATTAATGGCAACTATAAACAACATATCTACATACAAAACCTCTGACTGGATTCTGGACTCTGGTGCAACTCATCATTTTGCCAAATATACAAAATGCTTCATTCCTGGTATGCTCCATGGGTTGAGCAAGCACTTTGATGTTGGGCTTGGTTATGGATCCAAAATACCTGCCATTGGTGCAGGCGAGATAATTCTTAAGCTTCCTGCAATACATATTACAGTTGAAGCTCTACTGGTACCACAAATAAGTAATTCACTCCTGTCAGTCGACAAGCTTTCTGAAACCCACAACAATACCTTTCAGAATGGCATCTGTACGATAATGTCACTGTCATCGCCCGACAACTACCATATGTGCAATCAAGTTAATGGAGTCTACAAACTCAGTCAGTCAAGCCAAATTATTCAAAGACCTCACAACGCAATGGTTGCTACAGCTGTCAATACCATCAGCAAACCTGCAGCCTTCACCAGATGCCCGGGGCACTTAGGGCGCTCAGGGCACTTAGGACGCTCAGGGCACTTAGGGTGCTCAGGGCACTTAGGGCGCTCAGGGCACTCTGTAGGTAAACCACCTCTCCGGAGATACGGCAAGCACTCCTGGCGAGTTCTGATGTACGGTTGTCCACCCCAGTACATACTAGTCCGCCCAACGCGCCCCGACACCAAATCCTAGCACTCGCTGCAACCCGGACGTCAGTCCAGTCGCCAGAGAATGCCAGTTGCTCGTTGCTATATCCTGACTGCTCCTGGAGCACTCCCGACTGCTCCAGCAGGCCCTGGGGATAGAGTGATTGCCCTGACCCCTGCTGACATAGCCGGATAAGGTGCTTTGAAACCTGGCTCACGTCCGAAGTATCGATTCCTATATGTCGGCGCCCCATTCTCTCCAGGCATATATCTCTCCACCATACCGGCCTCTGGTATTCACAATTCCCCCATGAGATTACCAAAACATCACTCGCACGATGAGTTCTACTGCCTCCAGAACACTCGCGACTGCACTTTTAGAATTGGTGTATTCAACACCGTGATCCTCCGCCTAATACTAAAACAACATGCTATTTAACACCCTACCTAACCCTAATACAATATACGGAAAAGAACAAATCCCCCACTATCTTCCTTAGCACTCGCGATTGTTCTACAAATCCTGCTCCCCCCCCCTTTCATAATACCCCGCTACAGGTAATTCCGGCTCCTCTTCCTCCTCCCTCTCCTCTTCGGTGTCAATGCCGCGAATTTGGGCTTCAATGACTTCATCCTAGGTGCTGTTGGAACCAACCCGACCTGCTGGAGCACTCGTGGGTGTTCTCTGAGCATCTCGGAATGCGGCAAGATCTGCAGCCAGCGCTTCATCGTCCTCGCTAAAACCCTCCTCCGGTATCACCTCAATAGTTACCCCCTTTTTATCTCGTATCTATTAGGGTTAGCATTTAGAATACCACTCGCATTACCGGCATCTGGAAGTATCATACCTTTTCTCGAAGGTTATCTTTGATTACCTCCAAGGTGGCCTCCTGGTTCTGTTTACTTCTCCCCTTCCAAGTGTTGCTCATCCTGTTGAACATTTCTACTCGAGTTTGGATGTCAGCTCAGCAATCCCGTATAGCCCTAGGAGCATCCGCCATTGCTCCCAAGGCACTCGCCATATCAATGAAGGCATGGGGCCATACTTACTCACAACACTCTCATTCTGCGACTGAAAATTATCAGGCTTCAAGTAACTCCCTGTTGACCACGCCCGAACGCCGTGCCAGATTGCCGTCGATAGCAGGCAAATAAGGGTAGGGGTTATCCGCTCTAGAAATTCGGGATCCCTAACCCCTCGCATTCTTACCCCATCGAAGTATTTAAAATACAATATATCGATAATTTCCGGAACCAGGAAATGCAGTCGGTAGGTCTAGAATCTGTCAACGGCTATCTCGAGTGCTCTCTGGGCATCCGTCATACCTCGTAATGTTCTTGGGGGCTCAAGAAACGATCATTCTTCAAAAGGTATTCGACTTGAGCCGCCCTTGCCTCAGGCCCCACAAGATTTCCAAGCCCGTATATCGTAGAGTCCGCCAGGCGCCCTTTCACCTCGTGCATCAAGTGGGAACGGACACAGGAGTGCAGACTTCTGACCTGTAACGGGGGTCTCTTCTAAGAGAAATAGAATAGGATAGAATAGAGACGGCCATGCAAGATAGACAATCAGGTTGCAGGTTATTCAAAGATACTATCGCTAGAACTCAATAATCTTCAAGGGCTCTGCTACCGATAAGAACTTGACTTTTCTTTCTGATGAAGACTCGAGAGAACGGGACTGAAGGGCGAGAATGAGCCTGAGTACTTATACTCCGAAGGCCTCTATTCTCTGCTCCTAACCCCTTACTAAGTTCCCGTGAAGCCTTTCCTCGGACCGGAAACAATACCACCGCTACCCCGCTTTCCTCTAAGCGTCAGCAGGTGTTTCCGATACCCAAGGCAACCACCCTTAGTCAAAGCCTTTGTAACACCTGCAGCCTTGGTTGCCACACAACCGGGGCCTGCATGAATGAGCTGCCGCTCAGGCGTAAGCTTAATCATTGCTGTAGAGCTTTCGCTTATTGTAGACTTCCCGGGCATAGTCCCTGCCACTATTGGCGGTCCTGCAATGCTCAGAGGATACAGAGGATCACCGGGCAATCAGAGCTTCACTCTGGCCGGCCTTCTAGTCACTGGCAAGGCATAGACTCGTCAGTCATTGCTCCCATGAATAGATCCCCTTTTTAGTGCCCAGAATGTAGTTACTCTAACAGCTGGTAGCTAACCACACTGCCGGTACTTGCATATCACTGTGCAACTGGCTTCTAACAATAACTCTCAGCATGTAACCGGGCCCTGTGTGTACTCATACATCAGACAGTTGAAATGGCTCCGTTACATGACCTATCGTTCTCAATTATGCTTCCAGAGCACTCGTAATCCCTTTGGGGGCACTCTTAATCCCTTTGGGGGCACTCACCTGTTTGATAACTGTTATGGGCATGCCAAGCATTTACGAGAGTGAGAGAAAGGATAGTAGATAACCCCAATACCCTCTAATACTAATAGGAACACCACTATCAACTCTGGTTCGTACCCACGAGGTGCGGTACGCTCAATATGCTACCAAACGTGGAGTTGCGGTTTTCCTAGTTAAAAAACATATTTTGGACCCCAATAATAACCCCCGGAGCATCAAACCGCCGGAATGGACTGCTTTAGGACCGGTGGATATATGAGGGACAGTTGGGTGCAATCGGATATGAAGATCGGATTACTCGGAGCGGATCGGCGCAAGCTATCAGCCGACCGAGTACCTGTTGGCGGTACCTGTAGGCATGAGAAGACTCTGCTATATGGGAAAGTGATACGGGAAGAGTCTTGAGTAGGTAGTCTTGCCGCCCAGTACCTACGAGTAGCCGACACTGACATTTACCCACCAGATGACTCGATGTTGGGGAAACATCGATGGGAAACGTGCATGAGAATGGGTGAATAGGTTGAGGGGTTTTTAGCGGACTTAGGAGTTTGGGTTACGGACTTAGGACTTAAATGTTCTTGGTTGTTTTTCAGGGTCTCGGGTAGGCCCCGAGTGTATTCTGTATTATTAGTAGACTGGGTCCTCGAGACATAAGCGAGGGATATAAATACTGTGTCATTCACTGACTAGCCAAACCATCATCGGCGAAATCAGAGTCTTAACAATATAAATCGTTGATACGCGAGTTACAACTTTATTTGACTATACTTTTGGAAATACTTTACTCTATCGTGACTTCGCACTCTACCTGAACTATTACGTCGAAGACGGTCGATTACCAACCGCTAACTCTAGTGAATCTTTGTTGATAATGTAGCTCGCGGGGCCCGTATCGGACCAAGGAGAATTCTACTCGACGTTGACTGAAGAGACCTTGGAGACTTCTACCTTTGTCGCTGCTAGCCGAACTCTGAGCTCTGCGTAGTGTACTCTTCTGGTCTGGTACGCACCCCTCACAGTATATTGTTACTCACAAGTTCACTTGGAGTAACGAAGTCACCTTAAAATGAGAAACTATCATCACATATCCCCCATTATGATAGCTACCCCAGGAGGATATTTTCTAGAAACCGTGGCTGAAACCTCCGAGGCCACGGACGAACGTATGATAACGTCAGACGGTGAAAGGGCAGGAAGCCGAAACCCCCTACTCCAGGGAGGACCCTCTACACAAACTAGGCGAACGAGTAAACGCCCTACTCAAGGCCAGTTTACGAGGCAACTACAGGGGTTTTTGGATCTCCATGCTGCACAGATGAGGTATCTTAATTCTGGAGGACAAGTAATGTGGCAAGGGCTATAACAACTCCAGGAACAAGTACGGGAAAGTGAGCAGGCCCTAGACAGTAAGGCACGAAAGGAAGCCATTGCAGCGAGACAACACCTCGAAATGCTCTTTGAGCTTATCGCCAGTGTCCGACAAGAACAAGAAGTTACGCGAGCTGCGGACCATCAGGTTCTGGAACGCAGCCATCAGGGTACCCAGAACCAGCTGAAGGAGGCGGAACGACAGCTAAAGAAAATAAGGGAGGAACGCGAGCAAGAGACAAGGGAGCAACGAGAGCTGTTTGAACAGCTCAAGCAGTCGGAAGAAATAAGGAACCGACAGATGACCCAGATGGAGGAGCAGGAAGCAACCAGAAGGAGCTGTCCCAGTGGGAGGGAATGGCGGAAAGCAACCTCCCCGGAATCCATCAAAGGGAAACCTTGGAGGAGACCCAGAACCTTCCGACGACGATGACGATGACAATAGTGAATGGTCGCACGGCAGGAAGAACAGGAGAGTGAATAAGGGCGGTGTCCGGAATCTGGCGCCACCTGGGGATGAAGATATGGTAGATTCGCTTGCTAAAATTCCCTTTGAGTTTCACAATACCCGGAAACACAACCTGCGGCATTGGCTCATGGAGTGCGAAATCTATTTCGAACAGAAGCCGAAAAAGTTCCGTACGGATAGGAACAAAGTACTGTTCGCAGGAACGTATACGAGTGGGTTGGCAAAGGAATGGTTCATGGAATACATCGAAACCAAAATGTTGGGCCCGGTAGCGGCAGACTACGCCACTTGGGCTCGGTTCCGTCAGGAGGTCATGAAACGCTTCCTAAGCACTCAGGAAGCCATGGAGAACGCAGTGAAGATGCAGCAGTTTAAGTACTCTGCCAACATCGTGACTACCTAACGAGGATGGAGATAATGAACCAGCATACTCAGATGAAAGGGGCATCCTACCGCGCCCTTTGCTCCAAGTGCTACCGAACGAAATCCAGGAGCGCCACTTACGGTTCGATTCAACCGATGACGATTCCGAGTATATATCCAGCAACTGAAACGATCTGGCAAGGCTCACGAGTCTTACCAGGAGCAAATGAATATGTTGGCGAAGGCGGAGTCGAAAGGAAAAGAGTCGAATAATGATGGGAGCTCGCGGCAGAAGGATAAGGGGTTTAAGATCAAAGGGAGGGCTCAAAGTGAGGAGAAAGAAAAAGGACGAGCAAAGAAGAACACCAGCACGGACAAGTTGGGGAATAAGCCAGTATTCCACGAATATGACGAAGCCACCAAAGGAGTCCCAAAACCGGTCTAGGACCAGCGAAGGACTGATGGCGTCTGCGTGCGATGTGGCCGGAAGGGTCATCTCTGGAAATGGTGTCGCTCGGATGCTAACAGTAGTGTATCCATCTCCTCCTTCTCCCGAAAGCGTACCCGCGATGACGACGGTGACGACGATATGGAGCCAGCGGAACCCCAACCTCAGAGAAAGCGAATGCGGCACCGTGCAAGGAAGCCGGCTGCTGCGGAGTACACCAGTGGACAAGCGTTTGTGCGAGAACACAGGTCGGAATCTGAAATGGATTTCGATATGGGTTTTCAGAAGGGGACTAGTATAACGGAGCCATTTCAACTGTCTGGTGTATGAGTACACACAGGGCCCGGTTACATGCTGAGAGTTATTGTTAGAAGCCAGTTGTACAGTGATATGCAAGTACCGGCAGTGTGGTTAGCTACCAGCTGTTAGATTAACTACATTCCGGGGGCTAGGAAGAGGCTCTATTCATGGGAGCAATGACCGACGAGTCTATGCGTCGCCAGTAACTAGAAGACTGGCCAGAGTGAAGCTCTGATTGCCCGGTGATCCTCTGTATCCTCTGAGCATTGTATGTCCGCCGAAGGGGCAGGGATTATGCTAGGGAAGTCTACAATAAGCGAAAGCTCTACAGCAATGATTAAGCTTACATCTGAGCGGCAGCTCATTCATGCAGGCCCCGGTTGTGTGGCAACCAAGGCTGCAGGTGTTACAAAGGCTTTGACTAAGGGTGGTTGCCTTGGGTATCGGAAACACCTGCTGACGCTTAGAGGAAAGCGGGGTAGCGGTGGTATTGTTTCCGGACTGAGGAAAGGCATCACCGGAACTTAGTAAGGAGTTAGGAGCAGAGAATAGAAGCCTTCGGAGTATAAGTACTCAGGTTCATTCTCGCCCTTCAGTTCTTTCTCTCCAGTCTTCATCAGAAAGAAAACCCAAGTTCTTATCGGTAGCAGAGCACTTAAAGATTATTGAGTTCTAGCGATAGTATCTTTGAATAATCTGCAACCTGATTGTCTATCTTGCACGGCCGTCTCTATTCTATCCTATTCTATTTCTCTTAGAAAGACTCCCGTTATAGATAATCTTTAAGGCTCAAATCACCTTCAGATTATTCTTCCTCTATACAAAATGTCCGCCCTCCCGGCTCCGGATGTGCCCCTTCAGATTGAATGGCAGCCGGTGCCCCTCCAGCTTGATGCCACCGGGCAGACACAGCTTGTCAAGAAGCTCAGGACCGCTCTACAGACCTACATTCCCGATTGTGAGCCTGCCTGGCAAGATACCGACGAGGTCTCCCTTCAACAGTTCTTTACAGAGCTCCAGACCTACCTCCAGCACAGCCTGGAGAATCAGTTGACCCGGGGCAGTCAGGCCCTCCTCCTTGTACAAGAGCATCAGGCAGCACAGCATGCTCTTATGGCAGAAGCTCTCGAGTACATGAAGATGGAGGTCAACTCTGTTCAGGAAGAACTCCGGAGGTATGCAGAAAGGGATGAACTGAATGCTGATGCCATGGAGATTGAGTGGACAAACCCGGCCACTCCACCGGACTTTGTTGCCGAAATACAGCGAGCCTGTGAGGGATGCGTACCAGACCACAAGAGTACACTACGCAGAGCTCAGAGTTCGGCTAACAGCTACAAAGGTAGAAGTCTCCAAGGTCTCTTCAGTCAACGTCGAGTATGATCCTCCCTGATCCGATACGGGCCCCGCGAGCTACGTTATCAACAAAGATTCACTAGAGTTAGCGTATAGAATTCGACCGTCTTCGACGTAATAGTTCAGGTAGAGTTCGAAGTCACGATAGAGTAAAGTAATTCCAAAAGTATAGTCAAATAAAGTTGTAACTCGCGTATCAACGATTTATATTGTTAAGACTCTGATTTCGCCGATGATAGTTTGGCTAGTCAGTGAATGACACAGTATTTATATCCCTCGCTTATGTCTCGAGGACCTAGCCTACTAATAATACAGAATACACTCGGGGCCTACCCGAGACCCTGAAAAACAACCAAGAACATTTAACTCCTAAGTCCATAACCCAAACTCCTAAAGCCGCTGAAACCCCTCAACCTATTTATCCACTCTAATGCACGTTTCCCTGTCGATGTTTCTTCTCCATCGGCCGTCTGGTGGATAATCTTCAGCATCGGCTATTCGGAGGTCTCGGATGGCAAGGCTACCTACTCAGGCCTCTTCCCACATCGCTTTCCCACATAGCAGAGTCCTCTCATGTCCACAGGTACCGCCGATAGGTACTCGGTCGGCTGGCAGCTTGCGCCGATTCGCTCCGAGCGGTCCGATCTTCGATCCGATTGATTCCAGCTGTCCCTCATATATCCACCGGTACCAAAACACTCCCCTCCGGCGGTTTGACGCTCCGGGGGTTATTATTGGGGTCGAAAACGTGTTTTTTAACTAGGAAAACCGCAACTCCGCATTTGGTCGTATATCGATCGCACCGCACCTCGTGGGTGCGAACCGGAGTTGATAGTAGTATTGCCATTAGTATCAGAGGGTATTAGGGTATCTACTAGCCTTGATTCTTACTCCCGTAAATGCTTGGCATGCCCGTAACAGAGCCCTTGATGAAGGAAGGCTGGTGGTTGGTAGACCAAGAACTCCGGCACCAAATCCACATTCTATGTCCTCTTCCAGGGCAGCGACCAGAACAATGCAGCAAAAGACCAGTCCCTTCGCAGCATTTCCGGTCAGATCCACTAGGAGAGTTATCCCTATTATTCAGCCAGCAGTGGGGGCATCTCCCTTACCTCCCAGCCGCTTCAGTGAAGTACACCCACTCCTTGGAGGAAGTGATCGATCCTTTGACTATGAAGGAGAGCTCTTCTCAGGTGCAGGCCGAGGACCTCCTAGTCCGCTAGCCAGGAATCCGGGAAGGTTTACTATATCTGTGGCCGCTCAAGCAGGAGCAACCTCACTATTAGCCAGCAACCCGCCACCAGTAGCACCTGTGGCCCCTCCTGCTGTGGCCGCCGCTCCCCCTCCAGCTAATGCACAGGGTGGTAGCGGTGGAAACCAGAACCCTCCACCTCCCGTGGCTCGAGCTACCGCACCAGGGGATTCAGACAGTTCTGACAGCTCAGACTCGGAACCAGAAGGTGGTGACAGAAGAGGCTGGCGGAGATACCTTAAGAAGAAATTGGAGAAGCAGCAGAAGAAGCTGTTGGCAATGATTTCCCAGCAGTACCGACCTCCGGCCGCCTCTCCCCCTTCTGGACCTAGCAGGGCCCGAGAACCAAAAGCACCACCTCCCTCCAAGTTCCAAGGCAAAGCGGAGCAAGTGGAGACCTTCATCCGGCAATGTGAGAATGTGTTCTCCATTGAGAGCCTCTCATTCACCTCTGAGGAGGTTAAGATCCGATATGCAGGCAACTTGATGGAAGGAGAAGCAGCGATCCGATGGTATGAGGCATACCACAACTCAATTGATCAAACCTCCACCAACCGTCTTGCTGGAATGCCGGTGAAGCTAGATGAGAGATGGAAGCACTGGGATTCCTTTGTGGATGCTTTTAGAGCAGCCTTCGGTGAAGCCATCTCTAGAGATGATGCTGTAGCCCAATGGAATGCCCTTACCCACACTGCTCGAGGAGGAATAGACCTCTTCCTGAATACTATCATTCAGCTGATGTGGAAGACTGGCTATGAGGGTCAGTTGGTGGATGATAAGATCCACAATTCCCTCCTTGCGGACCTAGGCATGAGTTGGGCTCTCTTTACCCCCAAGCCAAAGTCTTTGATGGAACGGATAGCTGCTCTAAGAGAGTTAGGGCATACACATGAGAGGTATCAAGGGATGGCAGCTGAGAAAGCGCCCCCTCGGACCAAAAAGGATCCGCCAGCTGAGAAGGACCGGCAGCCCAAGAGGAAGAGAGAAGCTGCAAGCTCCTCCGCACCTCAGAAGGCCTCCGGACCCAAAGACAAAGCGGTGGAACTGAAGGGTATCCCGAGGGATATTCTAGAAGAAAGAACGAAAGCAGAAGTATGCTTGAAGGTATGACCTTTCGGTACTCTCTATTGGTAGAGTGCATAGACTGACTTGTGCAATAGTGCGGCAAGTCCAGACACAAATGGACCGATTGTTGGTCCAAGGAACCTACTGTTGTCAGAGTAGCAGCAGTGAGAGTACAAAAGCGGAAAAGAGGGAATGGCAAGTCCAACTCTCAGAAGAAAGCTAAAGTGGCTGCTGTTGTAGCAGAGGATCCACTTGTTGTACTCCCGGAGGTTACAGAAGATTTTGTCTTTCAGCCTGAGCAAGACTCGGACAATGAAATCCTCTGGTGAAAAAAGTGTCTGTTTGGGTCTATGTTTACTAGTTTTCTTTATATGGTTTTGGCTTCTATGTTTCTCTTGAATAAATTATGATTGTGTTTCCGCCTATTTGACTGCTGCAAGCACTCTGAGGATGGGTTTAAGACCCGAAACAGCTGGTCTGTCAGTGCTCTACCAAAGCTATATTTGCTACAAAGACACTTCCAACCCGCTGCTAAAACTATCACATATTATATTTGCTATATCATCGCTTGGGAATAGAACCAAAGGATCTTTGATCTTAGTAGTGCCCGAAGCTATTAGCTATGTTGAGAAGACAAAGAGAAACAAGTTCAGAACCCGCTATTAAGCGCAGAAGGTTGGAACAGAGGCTTCCCTCCTCACCAGTACATGGAAAAAGACCTATACTGAAGGCAGGACTGTCATGGACGGTCAAAGGAAAGGAAGAAGGCGCCCAAGGGTCTTTCCTGTTTGACACCGGTTGTAGAGGAGCTATCCTCAACCAGAGTTTTGTCAGAAAACATGGAATTCCCTTAGTGCGGCGGGATCAACCTCTGACAATGTTTGATGCTCAAGGAGATATCATGATGGGAGGAGGAGAGTATTACACTCACCCGGTCTGCATGACTATGGGAGATCATAAGGAGACACTCCGATGGGAAGTGGCTACTTTGGAAGAAGGAATGACCGGTTACCTGCCAATTAGTTGGGCTAGGAAGCATAACCCGGACATCAATTGGGAACTCAACACCATGAGCTGGAGGAGTGACTACTGCAAGCAGAATTATCTCCCAGCGGCGACCAAGATTGAACTCATCTCTCCATACCAGATGATGGAAGAAGAAGATACAGTCTATCAATTGGTTGCTTCAGTATGGCATGATGAGGACGGTGGAGATATTGCTGAGAAAATATACCACCTGTACCGGGAATGGGCCGATGTGTTCAGTCAAGAGAAGATTGGAGAAATGCCACCGCATTCCCATAATGATTTGAAGATCAAACTCTTGCCTGGCACCGCTCCCCCATTTGGCCCGCTA